ATCTAAGTGTTCATATCAATTGAAAGGATATTGCTATTATTGTAAAAAAAATTTGAATAAGGTAAGGTGTATCGGAAATGAATATTGTGCAAATTATCACTTTCATTGACCTTTTATGACATTGACGCCATTACCGGTCCGAAGTACAATTCAATCGGCTTCCGATTCAGCTTGACAAATCGAATGTTTATTGCTGATTTACTAAAGGTGAAACATTTTCTGTTGTTTTTTCTTCCACAGAGATGACACAACCAATAGTTCAAGAAAGCATGGATCAATTGCTGTCCAGCTTGACGAGACATGTCAGAGTATTTCTTAGGAACATTTCCGAGCATAACGAACGTGCGAAAAATGAAGACGGTTTGGCGGCTATACCGATCGATGACGTTCTCAAGATATATTTGACCGAGAGTATTGTCGCTTTGTAAGTTTTTTTGGGCAAAATAAATAAAAATTCATATCAGATTTTGTATATTTCTATATTTCCTCTTTACAGTTGCCAAAATTCGATGGGAGAGCGACAGAGATTAAACGCGTACGAAAGAGGATTGAACTCCAATGATGACGCACCACCTGAGTAAGCACCCGCGGCCGGCTTTGACATCAATGACCCAAACAAGTTTCATAACAAATTAAAAATAAGTGAAAAGAATTGAGTTTTGCGCTCCAAATAAAACACAATTCGATATTGAGTGTATTCGAATTATGCGAAAATATATTTCAGAATTTATTTCTCGCTCATAAAGAAATGTTGTTGTTTTTCTGCACTTGAATCCTCGAAATTTTCGGTGACAATCATTCACGCTTAGAGTAGCATTGAGACACTCTGATAAAGATGGCCTGTGTGCACACCAAAAAATGGAGAAACTAGAAGCAGTCTCTCAAATTCGACATTTTCCTCGCTCAAAGCAAATATGCAAATGGATGATTTTACTTGATTGAAAGAATTAAGATTTTTTTAATTGTAATTCGTGTTTTGTTACGCGCACCATATGCTCTAGGGGCGAGACACGAATTCTATTGGAGTCTAGTTACATTCAATTTTATATATTTTTTGCTTTATGTCCTCTAATTTTTCTAGTTTTGGTGTAAAAGTGTTAATATTGTGCTATTATTTCTAGTAAAATCGCTTGCAGAGCGTATCACACTGTGAATACAACGCTTATGGAGGACCTAACGGGACTATTTTGTAAACAATAAACAATACGTCCATAAGCGTTAACATTGGCAAACCAAACTCACTAATTTCTCCTTTTTTTCCTATTATCGTTGAATAATGTTCTAATTTTACTCATTTAAGTTTCGTGTCTCCCCCCTAGCATATGCCGCAATCACAAGATGTCTTGCCTTCAGCGAATACATACAGCTAACATAATATCTGTTCCTAAGCAATATCTCCTAATTAGCTGCAGCTATTTCGAATTTTTGACTCATTTTCCAAGAAAAGTTCGTGGCCTCTTTGAATTTTTGGTAAGTATTTCAATACTTTTCATAAAAAATCTGTCACAAATTCAAAGAGGCTACGATTTTTTTCGGGAAATGAGTCACAAATTCGAAATAGCTGCAGCTAATTAGGAGATATTGCTTAGGAACAGATATTATGTTATCTGTATGTATTCACTGCTTGCCTTTATTGTGTCAAGCTATTTGTTCAGATTGTAAACAATTGAATTTCACAACAACATGTTTTTGTATGTTTCACTTTATTTAAACTGATCCGGTAGGATTCGCTCTAGTGCTATGAAAGATATTTTGATTGAGCAAGTCTGATCTTATTCAAAATATCATTAGATTTGATTTTGTGTTCAAATAAGAACACCTTGCACGATTTTATACTCATATAATTTTGATCAACTGAATGAATTGAAATAAAATCAATTTGAAATTTTACGAAAGAAACTTACCGTTAATTACGTTCTGAAGCCGTTGGATAAAACCGTTTCGTGTGAAAGTTCCGAATCAAAAGAAAATTGAGGCACAAATTGTCAAAGTAAAAATAATTATAAATTTTTCATGTGAGTTTTATTCAGGAATTAAGTCATGCGAATGTCGATTTTGACAATAATGAAAGAACGCTTAAAATAATAAATCTCTAGGCTTAGAGCATGTATTTGTTGTCCTTCACGGAAAGGAATTTAGCTGATCGCTTGACATCTAAGAAGAGATTGTTGATCTCGTCGATATCTTCTTTTGCAATCGAAGTGCGGCCGTTTACTTTGGCCGATTGAGCGGCTGGTGTTAGGAGCTGCACAGCATATCGGAGTGTTGTTGTGTGTCCAATTTCACTGAGAGCCGTCAATGCATCCTCTTCGATTTGTAAACCCTCGACTTGTGCACGGATTTTGATGATCTGTTGAATTTCACCGATGGGGTATGGATTCGTTTGAATGATCACCAAACGATCCAATAAATCCAATGGGATTCCATGTGGTGACACGATATCTTCAGTTCCACTGTAGAAAGGATACAATTGGAATGATCGATTGAATTCATTTAAAAAATTCAGACATTCCGCAATAAAGGTTAAACCATTTCAAC